CAAACCTAATGCTCATTAACTTGCTAGATACATCACAAGCATGTCCTATTTCACAGATAGTTCCGTGTGGAAAAATATATTGTTACACTCATTATGGTACTCATTTTTGTCAGTCACAGCACACACAGGATATGGAGGTAGCTTGACAGAAATGTAACACAAGCAGAGATTATCAAGCAGCAGGTTTTTTTTTTCCATGTTCACATATGTAGACAATCAAATAGCAGCAAAATAACACCAGGAAAACAGGAATATGACAGGGTTAATTATAAAAGAAAAGCCAAATCTTCACATTTCAAATGTTGAGATCATAATATTAACCTGATAACACCAGTGCTCCTCTTCCACATTTCAAAAGGAGAGCAACGTGTTTACCTTCTCCTTTTCTGCAGAAGCCCCTGTTCCTACTCACTGTAACATCTCCATAAGTTTTGCAAAGCAACAGAGCTGAGACAGAACAGTAGTCTTCCTGGTGATTTGCATATGCCGTAATCATCCTTTGTTCCCACATAACTATTCATGCACAAGACAACAATTTATCTGGCAAATGATATTCAGAATTTGGCCATTTGTTTCTCTGCCATATTCAGATGGTGATGTGGACCTGTCAGTGCATCAAGCAGTCCTACAGGAGACACTATTTATTTACAGTGTTAAAAAGCACGGATCTGAAGAGTTCCAAGAGGGACAGAAAAGTAAGATGTTTTATAACACTGCATTTCTGCTAGATGCTAAGTTCAGGTTGTCAAATCTTCCAGCCAGACAGATGGTTAATGTGAATTACATATTCAGCTAAGAAATACTGTGAATTTCAGTGGGAGTCACGTGTCTGAAGTCATTTAGAAACTAACTAGTCTCCCACTCCAGCCAGTATTTATTGTGTCACGGGTCCAGATGCACATAAATATGTAAACCATTGCTCCTGTTCAGTTCTGTTTCTGAAACCACAGACACATCGGTAACTCAAGCTTGGTGAAGAATTAGCAGCCTGAATGACTACCATGTGCATTTGGCACTCTACCATTTCACAACTGTAGGATGGTGTAGAAAACAGGATCTACTCCAAAATCCAGGCAAGCTCACTTGTACTTATATCTCTACCTTATAAATACAGCACCCTTGCCAGATGACAATGCCAGAAGCTGTTAATACAACCTAGCTCTGCTGATACACTGTTCTTAGAGATTTTACCTTAGTTTCCCTAAAATGCAGTTATCCCTGCTAACACCATTCTAGTATTTTTCTTTATCCCTAAGATGAGGTAAAGCTGCTTTCTATAGAACGATCAGAAGCTTGCAACTGTAACAAAGCATAATCCTTTATAAATGGCTCCTGGGTTGGAAAGATTAAGAAATATTAAATTGTGATCTAATGCCATTTTAAAGTCAGAATCCCAAGTCCAACCACTATAACCTTAAAGGTTTTGGCAACGTAAAAGACATTTTGTAAGTGAGGATCGGGGCTTGTATGTTAGTCATATTAGCTACAGTGTAAGGCAACGGCAAAGGGATTTTTCTAACCTTGACTTAATAGCACATAAGGAGCCACAGGCTAAAGGGATTTTACCTTAAAAACCTAGTAAATCAACTTTGAGAAGAGTTACATTCCACACAGCCCTGCTGTCACTGATCCTGACAGGGAATCTGTAATTTTGCTTAAAAGACACACAGAGAAAAAGCATCTTCAAAACTTGGCACGGAGAACTGCAAGATTGTTACTGCAAAGTGCCAAGAAAAGAAAACATTCAAAGGCACTTACCTGGGATCCAAGAATCTGTAACACATATAGTACAGAATTAGATACAGCAGATCTGCCTTGGCAAAGACCTGGCAGATATTAAGAGCTTAATTGCAGCTTCACTTGTATACACACAGCTTAGAAATTGGTGAAGTGGAAAGGAGAAGCAAATGGAAAATTCCTTACACTATGAGGTCTCTGAAGCAGTTCATTTAAAAGGCTGTTTAAAATGAAATCTCAGATACCGGGGAAGTTTACCATCAGCATCTACTGATAAAGGATTATGAAATCTATTACTTCAAACTGTTGTCACTATTCAAGCTGAATTCAAAGCCTTTCTCATTGAGCCTTAAAAATGAACCTCCAACTGATATCAATCCTAACCGTTTTTCTCTGCTTTTCATTTATTACAGTAACTTCACATCAAATACTTTTGTTGATTGTCTTCAGCTGCAGTAAGTATTAAAAAAAATAAAGCATGAGCAGGAATGACTTAAAACACAGAGGACAACCATCGAAACATGTAATGTGTGTCATCACTTGTTTCTTGCTGACATGAATCATCACTATAGTATGCAATATGAGCATGCTGCATGAGCTCATTATGTCAGAAAACAACCAACCCTACTGCTGGTATCCAAACAGCCTATAGGAGACTACTGTGCTCAAAGCTGTGCAGGAATTATGAATATAACTAATATTCTGAGATATCACAGGATAACAGTTCACCTCCCAGGTCTCTCTGCCAGCATTCTTCAGTCAAAACTGGCAGTTGTCAGATAAATGCAGAGTAATTGTTTAGCTTGCAAAAGAGAAGGCTCCAGGGAGTATTGTGGCCTGCCAATACTTGAAGGGAGCATATAAAGATGAGGGGGAATGGCTGTTTACATGGGTTGATAGTGACAGGACAAGGGGGAATAGGGGGAATAGTTCTAAACTGAGACAGGTGAGGTTTAGGTTAGATATTAGGAGGAATTTTTTTTTCACATAGAGGGTGGTGACACACTGGAACAGGTTGCCCAAGGAGGTTGTGGATGCCCCATCCCTGGAGGCATTCAAGGCCAGGCTGGATGTGGCTCTGGGCAGCCTGGTCTGGTGGTTGGCGACCCTGCATGTAGCAGGGGGGTTGAAACTAGATGATCATTATGGTCCTTTTCAACCCAGGCCATTCTATGATTCAAGTAAATGTCTACAGCAAAACTACAGTGAGCTTGCTTTATCATATACCCAAGTTACATAGACCCAATTCTACAAATACCCAACGTTCAGGCTTCTGCATAACCAACAGAGAAGTCACCACTACAGACAGCAACCATTAGTGACAGCTTGACACCACTTAGTCACAAGGCATGTGCCTGCAGGGCAGCTCTGATTCTACTTCTGGGGTCCAAGCAAGCCGAAATGTCTCCCATTCCCCACTTCTTCAATATACCTCTGGGGATATAAATGAGAGCACACAACTGGGTGGATGACAGGGATGTCTGAGGTCAGTGTGAGATCAAAAAACAACTGGTCTCCAGCTTCTTCCCTTTTTAATGGTATTACTTCAGTATTTTGATACCACCTTTCAAGAAAGGAATGGCAAACCTGAAAAGTCAAATCAAAAGCTGTTTACATATAATTCAAAGATCTGGGTAGTCCAGTTTATCACTAAACAGGACAGGTGCAAAACAGTGTTTTATAAACCTCCACTGACTATGAGCTACATATAATGTATGCTCTCCATGTCAACTGTTATGGCAAGCAGTTCACTAAAGCAATTCACTAATGCTGATTCTGCAATAGCTACCACTTACGATAGTGCTCACAAATCAAAATTATCTATGAGGTTTTTAATGAGGCTTAAATAAAGCTCTGATAGCAAATGCAAGGGTTATTTCACTTTCCTCTCTCCGGGGGAGGTTCAAACAGTTTGAACTTATTAATAAGTTAAACAGAGATTGATTTGAGTCCATAAATGAATTTTAAGCAATCAGAATTCCTCTAAGGTTCACCTTCTGTGTTGGGAAAGAATAAGAGGTTAAATGACCCATCCTTTTGTTAGGCTAAACAAAGCCACAGCGTTGCTTGATGTGAAGGACGAATGCATTTGTAATCATTCAAATGATTTAGGATTAAAGTTTCCTCCAAGTCTTAAACACGTAAATATGCTATCCTGAATTCTTTGCTGAAGAGTAAGGGACTATCAACCTGACAGGAAAAGGTCAATATTCTATCATCCTTTCCTTAGTGGTTGTCACAATAGAACTTGGAGGTATATGGGAAAGAGAAGATAACCCTTTATATTTCCCATCTGTCCAACAACAACAACAACAAGCAGCAACCAAAGACACACCTTTGGAAAGTCTCTTTTAGGATCCCTTTTTCAAGGAAATTGACAACTATAGCTACGCAACCATATTTTCACTCAAAGAACACGCCCAATTTAAAATAAATAGACAACTCACACCATATACATACATCTGTGATGCAACAGTATTTATTATTTACATAAATAAGGAAATTAACCCCACTTCCTTCCTGTCACAATTACATTCTTTGAACCACCCTAAGTCATATCCTTCATTTGCAGTAAAACTATCATTTCTCTTGCTTCTGTTTCCCTCAACTAAGATGAAAACTGCCATGACATGCTGAGAAGTTTCTCTTATCAGTAACTGGAAAGTGCCTCTGCAGCAACATTAAGCTACCTGATTACGTGTTTTCAAGAAATACAGGAATGCAAGTTGTCTTAAGTACACCTGAAAATAAAGTAGTTTCTCCACTTCTTGTCAGTCATATTCCAGCTCCAACAGTCTGCATGTATTTTGCTAGCAGTAGGTACACACAGTACAGTACAGTACATAGTAGGTGTTTTTTCCAGATACTCTAGTATCGTAGGAAGCCTTTTTCTAGAAAAACTTCAGTGATGATTTTTCTCCTCTTTTTTCCTACCTTCCCATAGATTTCAACTCTCAATTCATTAATTATTATCAATGAAAAGGAAAATGATAGTGTACCCTCCCTTTCCCATAAATGCAGGCAGACCAATACAAAAGCTTCCCAAAAGACATACAAACTCCGAGCCCACGATAGTGAAGCTCATTTAAAACTTCACAATGTTAACCCTATGGATCAGCTTTGCTCAGTTTCTCATGGTAGGCAAATCTGGAAGTTCCTCATCATTGGTCTGTAGTTCCTCAGATGCGTTAGGTTCTCCAGAACACCAAATACCATGTTAACTCAAATTTCCCAAGTTAAAGTACGTATCATTACTCACTCACCTTTTTCCCATCTGTACTATCACCAACATAGGATAGTTTTCGACGGACATAGAAGAGCATATCATCTTGCCGGGGGGCCCATTTCTCCATAAAATATGTGGAAAACATCCAAGTCCAGAATACGATACGGTCATCTTTGAAACACCCTAAGAGAGACACAAAAGAAAGGGGAAATAAGAGTCATTGAACATCATATTTGGTTGAGCCTAATGTGACACTGCATGGCGTAGTCAAGCCCAACTGCAGGAGAAAAAAAGAAAAACTTGTACAGCCCCAAGTAGTATCTTCTCCATTGCACAACACAGCCACTACTTGGCACAAATTCAGAGCCCATCTTTGGCTATGGTCAACCAAAATCATCCTCTTCAAATCCGTCTGCTCCCCTACATGAGGAACACAAATCAAGGCCAACAAGCATGTCTTGCCTATGCCTGTACTACCGAGAAGTACAGGACCAGTAAAGAGAGCCAGAATTTCTCAGAAGCACTAAAGGAATAGTTCCAAATACACATATTGTCGATATACGCTCAGGATAATAACATGAATCCATCAGCAGATTTATTGTACGCTCTCAAGGAGTGCTGCTAATCCCTCAGAAGCTAGCAGCTGTCCTTCCTTAAATCAATACACAGCAACAAGAACATACCTATGCAGGAGTTACTGTAACTTCTTTTTTCATCAGGAACAAGAATCACTTCTACACCAACAAAACAAGGTGCTTTCAAGTCATGAACCCCAGTTAGGGAGGGGAAAGGGAAAATTGGGAAAGAAAGATAACACTAAGTCTTATTCAAGGAGAGGGAAAAATTACAGTATCAAGAACATGGCAGTTGGTCTCTCACCAGGAAAATGAGGTACAGCAAAGGTGACCTCACCTTTCGTGAAACTGTTCAACATAGTTCATTATAATAAAAACAGCTAAAGTGCAGTATGACAGAGTTGCAACAATGTCTGCACATTAAGGACCAACATTCACACAGAGAGAAATCTCAGGTCTACATCTGGTGACATGGAGCTGAAATTCTCCAGCACTGCTTAGCCCAGTCAGAGACTCCCTGAGGAGACTTGCTAAGTGCAGCTGTTAGCCACTCACTGGCTGCTTTGAAATCTGTGAGAATGGCACTGAAATCCTACATGGCTAAGAAACAGAAAAACCTGAAATTGGCTACATACAAGACCTGTGCACACGTGTACACATGTGGCTGACAGCACAGCCTCCAGAGCAACTATCCCTTACAGCAACTCATTTCCCCAAAAGCTATGCAATGGCTGCCAGATTTGTACATGTGATGCTCCCCAGCCCAGCAACTATTTCCATTGGTGCATTCCACTCCTAGAGGTACACTGAGCATATTAAATGCTGCTGCAGAGAGATGAGCCTTGCATAAGTGACATTTATTTACAGTGATACGTGAATTAAGCTTTAAAAGATTTTTCAGTCAATTGCAAAAGAAAGCTGACATACCACAACAATGAACATGATTTTTCTTAGGCACTGGTGGCTAACTTCAGGGCTTTATGAAACAAATCAATCAACCTTCTCATCCACGAGCATAACTCAGCACATTTTCTTACTTCATTATGAGTGCAGTATTTGTAAGCCAAATCTTTCCTCCAATCTTTAATAACTTTGGTGGGCAGGACATTAGACTTTCAAATTTTTTAGCAAACAAATGAGTGACTGAAGAAATTTATTTATTTATTTATTTTACATCTTTTCAACTACATCCAAAAGCAATATTGAAAACAAAATGAAATTTCACTGATGAAACGTACACAGACTATATTAATCAACAGCATGAAGGATAATATTCAAAAATATGTATATAGTTGATTATATCTAAGTATTAATGAAAATATTAATGAAAAGGCTATGAAAGAACAGCAAAAGACCAAGAGAGAAAGTTTCCAGTTGAGGCTACTTTCAGGCCAAGCTGCAGTTGCTTTATCTGCATAGCTGTGCTGAAGTCATTGTGATTACTAAAGCCAGCATAGAGCATGATGTGCACTTGTGAAATAAAGTCTACACTGTATTTTAGTTTCTCCAGTAGAGAAGGTGCATCTAGCACTGGAGAGTTCAACTCCAGGATTCTGTGCTCCTTCTCCATCTGAAGTCTTCCCCTAGGCACAAGTAAACAGGACTGCATGGCAAACAGCTGCATTTGGGATCCTACCAATCCACAGGAGTCTCGGGTGTGTTTGAGACTCTCACAGCTAGGCTGAGAAAAGACAGAATTACCATCATTTAGTATATTCCTAAATAAATGCTAAGACGACAGAAGAGCTATTCAGGCTTAATGATGTACTGCTGACACAAGGACCAGCAGCCCTGAAATACCCACCCATATATCTGTAGGTTGGAAGTAAGGAGTATATTCCAAATATTCAGCCTACTCCAAAGCATTCAGGCCATGAGCCTCAGGAACAGCCTCTTCAGTAGTAATAGGGAAGGCAAAAATCCCTACAGCTGTAAAGATGGAGCTAACCTTGTTTAAGAAGATTGATGTGATACCAGTGACACCAGAGGACACTGTGACCCAGTCCTGCCTCTATATTTAGCGAAGAGTAGGAAACAGGGCATGCATCAGCATGATTCATTAATGGTCTCAAAAAAAAACTTACTAAATCTCATGGGTTTTGAGTACCCAAATTCAGAACCTTAATTAAAGGGGAGGGATGTGAGGCAGGAGGAGAGAATAGAGGAAAAAAAAATTGCCCCGAATTCATATAGAGTTTTAGGAAAAAAATGGAGATAAAAAAAGTCTACGAAATTTAAACAAACAACTGAAGACAACCTATGCCTGGAAGTACAATACTTCAGTTTTGGCTTACACATAGGCAAACAAAATAAGCCTAAACAAGACACCGATAAATTTATAATGAAAAGTTTTCCTACCAGTGAGAAATTTTACTTTCCCCTTAGACGAGAAGAATCATGTTATTTAAATTCAATATTATAAATGAGGGTTAAATAATTTTTAGATTCTGATAGTATTTGCACAATTCTGAGAAGTGGTTGTATGAGTTGCTGGTAGCATCATTAATAGCAGGACATTAATATATGCAAGAGAATGGCAGAACAGAGAAAGATATCAAGACTTTATGTGCTCTCCTACCCTTGCTGGAGAAGGAAGAACAAACTAATTCAGTGTATTTTATTAGTCTAAACAGAAAACAAGAGGACAGAAGCGCTGTGGCAGTGAAGTTATTTCTGCACTGCAGCATAATGCAGGGGAAAATCCCAACAGCAATGTTGGACAGCCTTCAGTTCAAAACCCGATCTGCAAAAGACTGGAGAAAGCTGTCCTCCAGACTTCAGAAACATTTTCAGACATTACTGTATCGTTAAAAGATGTTCCAGCGATTCTGACTGCAGTGGCTGGAGGACTTTTCTTGAAGATGAGAAGAGTCAAACCACAGCAGTACAGCTGCTTTTATTTAATTTTAGTAGAAGCAGGAAGCATGGGGAGCAGCACATGAAGAATTAGCCTTTACAATCTTCTATTAAATGGCATTAACTTTGAAAAGGAAGTAAGAAAATTTGTAATTGCAATCCTAACTTCCTAAAGCTCAGAGGGGAAAAAAAAAAAAAAAAAAATCAATTCCAATTTCAAGCCATGAACTGACAGATCAAATAAATCCATTCAGTCTTGCCTTCAACAATTAGATCTTCAAAGCAAGCCACATCCTTACAAGTGTGACGTTAATTTTCATTGTATCACTTGAAGCCTTCCATCTCTGCTAAGGAGAAACTTTGAAACTGTTTTTTAAATTGTTTTAGGTAATGGCATTGAGGTGGCCAAGCAAAGAAAACTCCTCTTTTCAATAAAGAGAACAGGAAAGAGGCCTTAATTTTTCCACAGTTTCACAGGACCTTCACAGCTATCTGTCAAGGAGCCTCAGCTGTGTGCAAGATGGCAGGGCTCAGAGGAGTTTTGACCCCATCAAGTGCCAGCCACTAAAGAAGTAGACAGACTCAACTCTCAGTTGGTTTGCTGACCTTAACCCTCCGCTACAGTATTCAATACTACTTCTATCCGCTCAGCAAAGGCTGAAATAAAAAGGAGACAGCATTTTGAATAGTCCAGACAATCCCAAGTTGGCAACAGCTTTCTATCACATTGGTCTGTCACTGGTTTGTTCAGATGTACACATACACATGTGTAGGACTGTCAAGCTGATGGGTGGAAGCTATGACTCCAGCTCGTTGAAGAGTTCAAAATGCTAAGGCTTTTTTTTGCTGGAGAATTTGAGCCTTCTGCAACACCAGAATCAGACAGCATTTGAAAAGGAACCAACTTCCATTTCTAGTTGAGAGCAAGTAGCTTCTCAAAACACTCCTCCCCCAACAAATTCTGCTTCTAAATGAATAAAATGGAATTAAGAGTTGAGACTATAAATCTTAATACACTAGAAGTTGATTATATAATTATGAGACCTTTGAAATGAATAAATCCTAATTACAACCATTTACTGTAATGATTCATTTACATGGATTTTTTCCTCACTAGAAACAAGATTTATGCCAGCTGCTATGAAATAAATCATTTTTACCTATTAAGATTTTTATATTGAGCATTCATTCCAGGGAACTGACTCCAGACTGACATAATAAGCTGGGGACCTCAATTTTTTTTTTTTCCTAAATTAATGCTTTCCAAAAAGTCAGTGGATAAAGAGATGCTCCAGTATATTATTTTGCTTCAAAGGAATAGAAGACAGTTTCACATTTAGTGAATAATCATCTTTTTTGCTCAGCATGTACCACTCTGAGCTTAGAGAAGCAATAATTTCAAGGCAGACAGGGTTTACTGTACTTTACTCCAGACTGCCATGAGCAGTGAAACAACTGTGAAACATCATGAAACTCATTTCATCTAATTTTGTCACAGTCATTGCAGCCCTGGAATGAGTTCTGAGCAATTCACACTAATTTTGTTTTGAGTTTGGTGAAGTATTCTGTCAGGACAAAATGAGAAGTGCTTTGCATACATTAAAAAGCTACCTTTGGATATCAGAATAAACTACAACTGCATAAAATCAGAACGGATGTCCCTTGTCTTGTGTTAATTGCCAGCACCTCAGATCATCACTAAATCAGAAGTTCAGTTTTCTACTCATGCAGCCATGAAAAGCCAACATCTAA